AGTGTATGCATATACACATACAGTTAATGTACATGATTACTCCGTCAATCTTTCTGTCAACAGTCAGATCTAACCATTTCGTTGTATTACTTTGGATGGATAATTAGATATTCCATTTCTTAAACAATTGCTGACAGTTCGCTAACAAATGCTTGCAAAACCACGAACCGGGGGCGAATCGTGACTGTACCTTAGGAAAACAAAGATGCTTTCTACGGTACTTGTTCATGTCAAAGGCAGTTCAAATTTGCAGCCAATACGTGTGCATCAATGGTTCGATTGCAAAGGTAAACTGCAAACTACGAGTCCCATCAAATCAGTATAGGCGGTAACAGTTCTACTACACTGGATCACCACCTAGTTATTTAGCAAGCCGTGTATCAATAAATTCTACTGTGAAACAAGGATCGAGACCCAATAGGCCATCGATAAGCCCATCAGTTAGGTAAACCAGTTGGAAACTGATCATATCAATCCTATCAACACATTTTGGCTCGAATATCACAAGAACGATAGAAGAACCAATTGTCCCAGGCAGCGTACTAAGTTTCTGCATTCCCCTAACTTTCTGACACGCGAAGATCCTTTGTCGCATGTAGCTAAATTCTGTACTTCTGTTAAGTACTTGTCAAGTGCTTTTAGGATACAAGTCCGTATTATCCACAGTTTGGTGACTAAATTTCTGAAGACGACTTTATAGTGCTAAATTCCCTGAAAAATCCACAGCGTCGTTCTGAAATGAAGCATCTGGGGATTCCGGTCATTCCGCAGTTTATATCTTTTTACCCAGTTATGCAACTGGACTGAAGCGTCCCCAATGCTTTATAACATGAAATTTCGCTTTGTAAAAGCACATAATTTTCGGTTCCTCTTTTCAAAACTTAATCAACGTTATCTGTATAGTTCTGTTTGACATAGCTTTCCGTAAAAAAATCAGCGGTTGCCCTAATCCGGCAACCAAAAAATGGGTCTTGAAATTTTCCACCCTTAAAAACAGAAAAAAGACAGAAAATGTGTTGCATTAGCGAGATCATGTTGTGTGGACTCCAAACGGTGGACTGAATAGCTGTAAATGGTAAGAATGGGGGTTACCTGTTTGGAAATATTTGGTCTAACATACAATGGAGTGTGGAACTGTCGTTGATGCAGTTGCCCTCGTCTGAAACCCCTCGAGAACTTCAAGACCTATATGTGACCTTCGGTTGAATGACACAAAGATTACATGCCCCGGAACGCATCCACAGGTGCTGATGAAGAGATATCAGAAGATATTATTGAAAGGAAGAAGGCCTTCGCTGCGTAGTCATTTATTGGAAAACACCAGCTAAACACTCACAGACTATTGGACATGGAAGCAAAACTCTCATATGCACCTTGTTTATAAAAACTGTATATCCATTTTCTTGAACGCGTCTTCCTGAATTTTCCTGCATACTCGTTGACTATCACTCAAAAGTGAACGAGTCCCACAAAGCGATTCCATGAATTCCGTAATAAATCTCACTTTTCAATAGACGTGAAGCGCATTCATGAGAAAACCACATACTACTCGCATGCGCCATCAGTAGTATCCACCGTTACACTATTGACGCCTCCTACGGTGAGTCTAAAAATTGCACCAATTTTTCCTTATGCATTCTCCTAATGGGAATAGTACCAATTTATCTCAGTGACAGACGAGGGGTGTTTCTTCAATGCATCGACAGTAAAGTTCACAACCATTAAAAAGGTCCGCTAATAAGTGCCGTTCACAGTTGGTGCAGTGCATTTTGGTGAAAGGTGGCTGAGACCAGCCAAATGCTCCTTTAAAAGTGTCTACCACTTTTGGTATGAAGAAGGGATGTGGACCAAAAACCTTCGAAACGGCCAAAGCGTTTAAAAGATAGCCCGGAGTTGACCAACAATCCAGCAACAAATAGGACGTGGTGAATTAATCATGGTTTACAATTTCCTACTCCAGTGATTTCAGGAAGCTGGCAAATTTCAACACATTCAACAGCACTTTCAGCTTTCGTAATAAGCTAAGTGGACACTACTCATGGTTGAACAGACCTGATGAATTGCTTGGCATGCCCACAGTTCCTCTTTTGGTCTTGCAAGCATTGATAAGACCACGAAATTTCAAATCTAGGTTTCAGTGTGTACAACTGATTTATACTTCTCAGGAATTATCGCACATAGCGCCAAATGACGCTTCGGTTTTCAAGACACATTACTAAATCATGAGAATCGCGTTGCTTTGAAGTTCTGTTGAAATGGAAGTGGAAACGTTTCTTGAGGGTGCTAGAAACGTCCGATTCTAATGAAAAACCTAGGATATTTTAGAATAAAATGGTGAATGCTGCACATCCCAAGTTAGACTCCCCCTCTGCCTTGGACGCCATTTAAGGAGCGCCATCAAACGAATAGTCTGTTTGCGGTTGTGTATCACCTGAAAGTTTATGTGCATGATTTTTTTTAGTTTGAATGGTTACATTTTCGGCAGGCCTTTGAATGGCTCTGATTTAACTCATTTTAATGCGAGTTATCGGTTATTGTCATCGAAATTATACGGTTGGACTGAACTAATCTCTGAGAGTGCCTATTTTGTTGCAACGAAACTGCCCACGTCTGTCCGGTCACAGTGCTGGGAATATTTTGTTTGTTTAACTCACTACTTCAAAGTTGAAAGTAGGCGGAATTCGAAAGTGATCTAAAAACCCCATCGAACAGATGCTGTCAAGGGAAACGGGTTATCAGATTCTCCTGGGCATAAACGCGCTCTGAGGTACTATCTAGGAGACTTCGACAATGTAACAGGATCATGGAAAATTCCATGTAAATCATTTTTTTTAAATGTTCGGTAGCAATCTACCTGGATTATGCGGTGGTGTGAAGAGCATCTTCTAACGTTACTTACCGTTTCTGGTTTATTTTTGAATCGTTTTTTGAAGTGCCCACATATAAATCTCAATTTGTATTGCATTGGAGGCCATCGGGTGAAATCATCTCCGAAAAAATAACAGTAACTTGTTAGTAACTCAAGGGATTATAACAGTTCGTTGGGCTGACTTTACTTCGTATTTCGTTCCATGGAACTCCACGGAAGGAGAATACGATCTAAGATCCTCACAAAGTAAAAAAGAACGCATGAAATTATATTTAACTTCTGTTGTTCCGCTAATTTACGATTTTCTTTTCACTCGAAGCAGTGATTTCTTCGCAGCCTTATCATCTATTCAACCTTTGTCGTGTCTAAAAGTGCAAAATGTGACATTAACTGAACACAAAATCAAGAGCCTTTTGTTCGATGAAGTACCGGATATGTACTGCCAAGAACTTGTGCTCCACGTGACGATAAAGTGACGACTTCAGAAACGGGCAATGCTACAGGAACCTGGCGGAGAAAACCGGCTGTCCACTCACATGAGAATACCGGGTCGTTCTTGGACGGCTGCTGCAATGATGAGAACACTAAATTCGTGGTCAAATTACTTGATGGTTTATACTGCGCTAACTGACTCCAACCGTTGAATGAGACGACTCGTTTACGAAGTCAACCCGCTGTCCTAAAATGGGCAATACCATTAATTCACTCGTCATTGTAAGGCTGCCCCCAGCCCTGAGGAACTCATCGAATGGAAAGGAAACATAGGTAAAGCTGTTCCGTTTAAATTTATGGTAACAAGCTAGACTTACAGAAAATGAGTTCACTCTATCTCAAAAGATAGACTGCTTTCAACCTACAGACAATCGATTGCCGAACCCTTAGGCTCAGGGATATCACGCCCAATTTATAGACTAATCAGCCGATATAACACATAATGGCGAAAGGGTTCTGACAGTGACATTAGCCGATCATCCAAAGTTACCCAAATCTTTAGATACATCGACTTTTCATGTAGTTTTCGCGTAACCCAACCGTCCTAGTTTACCAGTCACTCAACTTCGTTAATATCCCACAATCCTGAAGGAAGATAGCAATGATCAGAAAGAAACGACACTTCAAGCGATGGGCATTGGAGACGGAACGCTTACTACGCTTGCTTCTCTTTCTGGGCTATTTTCAGAGGAATACTAGGTGGTCAGTATTTGATACCTGCAGATTAATGGAACTTGACATTTGAAATAATAATTGGGACTCAAGTGAGCAAACAGAAAGGCGAAAGCGCAGTGTTCGATCTTATGTGCTGTCATATGAATGCCATTTTTGCACGCTGAGAAGCCACCATCCGAATAAGCCGTTTAGTTTTGGTGGGAATCTTAGGCCACAAATATTGTGATCCTTGTATTGTAGTGGACTCCTTTCAGAAGGAGCAATAGCTCTACTTGGTTGTGGGAGTAAGTCTCTGAGACCGAAGGATTTGAGGCATCTCCCGATATTTAGCTGTCCCAGAACCAGCAACTGGGGCAAAGTATGCCCGTCGAATGGATGTTCGATAATTCCGCAGACAATTCACCTACGGATTGCATGCAGCACCACAAACTGGTGCCGAGTTCCCAGTGATGTGACTCAGGCGCGCGGAAAAGAGAACTTGGAAGATTACGAAGGGTCTGAATGCTGTAAATGCAGCACATCATCCAGGATGGGGTCCACGTGATTCTCATTATATCTAGATAGAGACGTCGAGGACAACCTGCGATTGTTCATCCGACCACGAGTATAACCATCTGCCTTCGTACTGAACTAGTACCAAGTTCCTTCCTCCATCATTTTGTTCTTCAAACAGTGAAGTTGCGTCATGGTAACCCGGCGGGGTCGCACAGCAATAAAGCACCGGTGCTTCATTCTTATATTGCTGTAAGCTGACCGCTAAAGTCGATCGCAACTAATGGAAGATAAGGAATACCCCATCTAAACGCGAATAAAGCCGGGCAAAAGATGGAACATATTCTGGAAGAACTTCTGTCTGCAGTTTCTTGGGCGCTCACATTGGAAAAAGCAGAGAATGCGCACCTTATATCGAGTCTAAATTATTGATCAGCATACCACGTTTAATTCTTGTGACAGCGAATACAATAAGCAAGCATATTACTACAATGGTAAATCCAGTAAAAGGCGCCCAAATACTTTGGATAGTGAGAAAACACAAAGCTCCGCAAACATCTGCAATGGACAATCTGCATCGGGGGAGACAATGAACATAAAGGCCTATGTACACAAAACCATCTGAGCCACTTGTACTCCAGTCAAGAGTGCTGCGTCGAACAGACACATACAAGGAGATGATTTCTGTGATAACCGGGATACAACTTCGTGTTACACAGGCAAATGGTTGTACAGCAGGGGTATGGTGAATTCGAACATTATAAAATTCTTGTGGTAATCAGTCTGAGAGATCACAGACGCAAGTCTGCCAGCTGTAGTTCCAACAAACCGATAAGCTCATCACGTAATCGATCAGATTCACGTGTCGCTGCCGTTGATTGGTACTTTCCGGTGGATTCTTTGGGGGTTGGTTGTTGTTGCCTGCTCTTCTGTTCTGACAACAAGCAACTCAAGCAGTTGCGTACATGGATGGAAAGCGGTTCCTTAGTGCTAAACATGTGCCGTGTGACGTAGAAATAACACATACGGCGACGCTCGTCGTCTACATCCCCACTGTTAAGCACCGCATGTTCCTCGCTATCCCTCTCAGCTTTGACTGCACCCAAATAGACAAGCAGACAATTGACAGCTCGTGATACCATAGCATCATCACCTCGACCAGCGGAGTCCGCGGGGCTTAGCATAGATGCGAGTAAATTAGAGGCGACGTAGGTCAATAAGTCCGGCTGTTCGGGAAGCGGATTTGGCAGATGAAGGCTTAACTGAAGGCCAAGCCGGATCACTCTTTCAGGCGCCACTGATTTCACGTGCGTCGGAAGCTTCGAACTGTACACAGACGCATTGCTTACACTGTCCGATTTGATTATCTCTAAAAGAGGAACAGTCAAAAATGCATTTCATGAACTGAACAACATGGGTGATTGATAAGAAATGCCACATCCAGGTGACGTGCCGCCGTCGGAGTAACTAAACAATACCATGAGGTGTTCCTTAGCTATACGGTGGTAAAGTAGTGCATTCGAAGCGTAGACGGCTGAAGTGTAGCGCTTCGAAAAACCAAACCTCATAAATTAATCTGGGTTTTTTGTGCTTCACAAAAGTCTGACTACTAAAAATGTGATAATTTGCAAAAGTGGAAGGGTTGTTAAACCGGAACTTGAAGTAATGGCTCGAGGATAGCTAATTCCCATTGGAACCTGTTATGAACAAAGTCATCTAAGAATGGAGATTCGAGCGACTGAAATCATCACCCGCCGAACTATTGTTCGTATATTGGCTCCGACGAACCTTAACATTCGCCAGTAAATAAAAGTGATCCAACGCGAACTTCTATGCCTAGGTTAATTTTTATCCCATCGATATTTCACCTGGATTTCGATGATACCCAGACAGTAGCTGCCGATTCAGACAATAGTTCGCTTGCTCGGGAGCCTTGGCCTCCACAAAGAACGTCCCCACCCCAGCAGTGTGATCACCCTGATCTACTAGAACGGAGAACTATCGCCTCAAAGCTCAACACTATTTAAACGCAAAAAGGAGACATTAGTTACTCTAAACTGATTCATAAAACAGGCCGGATATCGACGACTTTCCCCCTAACATCTTGCCTGAGGTTACAAAAAACGATCTCGTGGGAGTACTATCTACTTCGTTTACAAAACCTAGACTTAGCAAACCGTTTTGTTGTTACACGTATATCCAAAGTTTAGTTCTTTCATCAGTAAAATGTCAAGCAACAACTTGAGCCTAAGCGATTGGACCTGAAAAGATAGCTAGAGGTCTGTAATTATCTTCCAAGCAATTGAGAAGAAGCTTCAACATGCAATAGTACATTTGTGCCAGATGCAGTTCGGTCCTCGTTGAAAAAACCTCAAAAAAATCGTTCAGCCGTAACACCCATCCGGGGCCTAGCTGCCATGCCACCCGAAGGAAGCACGAGGGCTGGGATACTGCCAGGTTGCTCAAGCCTAGACAGGGGAATTCGAGAAGCAGTGGTTTGGATCGGACCTTCAGGTCAGTAAATTCGCGCTCTAACGACTTAAGCCATCTCGCCTCAAAAGAACCTCAAGGACATCTATGCAGGGAAAGACAGAAACTCACTTCATCCGACCACGAAAGGGCCTACTGTCGAGAGAGACTGTTGTAGTGTCAAAGGCTAACCGCCCAAATTCTGAACTACCACACAGGTCAAAATCAGAGGAACCGCGCTAAATCAATACTGTGAAATTTTAGCCGTGAAATGCAGTGTTTCTTCGGCGCACGCCTGCCCTACAAGCCGTATGAATAACGATGACTGGGATTTTCTCGAGTCGTTCAAGTTCAAACGCGATTAACAGCTGAACTGGAAATCGAATAAAATAATTTGGTTTGAAATGTGTGTGCGATCAGGAGCTCCAACTCACTAATCATTATCATCGGATAAAGGTAGGGGAAATCCAATACAGTGTTACTCGCGAGAAATTACATTCGGACTTAGGGTAATCGGAGTTGTTTCGAATACACCGGATTCCTCATGGGCCAGATGGATTTGGAAGCCGGGCAGATTAGAACTCCGCCTATTCGGTAGGATCGTTCTGAAGTTCATTTGAAAATACGCTGATAAAAAGATAAATAATGCATAAGTATCGGTGTTCCCCTTCGGTCCAGGCACTGGGATCACTCACACAAAAAGTAGAAGAATAAAAGTGAACAATCAATAGCAACTGTCGCGAACGTCCACAAAGTTGTTTCAGTCCCTCAATGTTCATACTGAAAGTGTTTCTACTGAAGATGATGGATGCTACAGAAAAGCAAGTTTGCTGAACAATGAGCTTCCTTTATGAGAACAACTGAACCGTTCCTTGCGAACGATATCATTCTAATGGAAACTGAAGGAATTCGTCAGACACCCGTTCTTATTGAGCGACAACCCATGATAGCCACAATATTATATGTAACAATATGGTACGGTAACTGTTTTAGTACAGGGACATATATGACAAAAAAACAGACAAAATGTCTCGGTCGCGCTGGAAAAGATGACAATTCGAAACATTCGGTCTCCGTATACATGTTCGGAAGAACAGCCAAAACTAACTGATGAAACTAGCAGAGATGTGAACATCTGTCTCCAGCTGCTTAAGTAGGAAAATATGGCCACCTTAGCGTCCGTGTCATACAATCAAGTACTTCGAAGCTACAACCAATGTCGGCCGGGATACCTGCTTGACCGCTAGATTTATCTCTCTTAACAAAAACGTAAAACAGTAAGAAATCAACCGATCTAATTGTGGCAACATGCTCTGCAATATTTCATTATCCCTACATGGATGATGAACCAATGGAATCAAACCCTCAACACACTGAAAAACACTAACACTAATATGGTGGTCAACTTTACCGACACAAGACTGAGCACCTTAATTTTGAACGCCAGACCGTTAAGCAGCCAACTGACAATAACGTAAAGAAGCATCAGATGTCCCATTATTCGATATTTGTCACGATATGACAAAACGCAATCAATGCCTGTGGCAATCTCTCTTGAAAGTAGCCCATACCCGTACCAGTATGCCAAAACTTCACGAGGTTTTGATTTGCGGCCATTGGCAAAAAGACTGGATCTGGACCTATGCAGGAAATCTTGCGACCCTAAGCATTTCAAGTGCACATTCCTGTATTCAGCGAGTAGTTAGGTTAATCCGTGACCTCAGTCATAAAATGGACGCAGGTTGAATGATAAGGACTATGCTTTTTTGGATTTCTTGCAGCCACCTTAGTCCCTATGGATTAGATCCGCATGGTTCAAGCGCAGGAAGTCCCGACTGAATTCTATTCTTGTCAGTACACTATGTAGGTTCAGTGAGTTCAGGTTGTCGTGTGCAACGTGGGGCCAAAGCGGTAACCAGGATAAAGTCTATTTTGAAAAGCTTTTGGATGGGATGTCTTTGTTCAGCAATGTTTTATGACATAGATACCGTGTAACCATGTAAAAAAAACTCTCGGTCGCCGATGGCTACTTCCACCCCCGACCGAGTTCATACGAGCCATCCGAGATGATTAGCGCATGACTATCTGCATTCAATGACAGAGTACCACATAGCAAAGGATAAATCAACTCGGTGCCGCTAAGGAAACTGTCCAATTTTCAGGCCTGAGAGGTGCTTCGAAACTCACAAGTTTCAGTGGGAAGCTCAAATGGAGTGGGACAGTCATTTCTTCGGGTAAGTTAAGTTCACTTTCAACGATCAGTTTTTTATGGCTAGGACTGTTGCTCCAGTTTCTACATAAGGACATGCATTGATCGTTCAAAACGAAGTGTTAATTCGTAACGCACTACTCATAAGTTTGTTGAATATTCGTCGACAGCCCACGACCGTTTACGCCCTTCTTGGGGCTCATCAGGCAGACGCGGTCCCCAAGTTCCCGTCAACCTTATGTTCTACCTGAAAACAAATTGCACGAAACTAGCGGAATACATTCAGTTGCCTGGAAACGTCACAAACGAGGGATTCAGCCGGGTTCCAGGTGAGTCTGTTGCAAAACTAAATTTGTTTGCAAATGAGTGTTAATTTGACGGAATTATTTGACACAGTGTATTCTCCTCAATTACTAACATACTTGAGTCGGTTGTACTTCAGGGGTAAAATAGCCTAACACATGTGACGGCATTGCATCGTCCTGCAACCTTACTGGAAAGGAAGTCACCGAAGGTCGTTAGGGCGAGTGAGCACGGCCATACAACCTCACCTGCTAGGCAACGTATCGCGGCTTCGTCATGCTTCCCTGTAAAGCACTTTTGAAGTTGGGTCTCAAATTCCATCAACTTCGTTTGCAGCTGTTTGTCCACATTTGGAGTTGGCTGGAACGATGGGGGCGAGAAAAGATGGCTGGGTTTGAACAGACCATTGTGACCAACAGCCGAAGAAAAAAGTCCCGTTGGAGGCCACGCTTTGGGACGCACGACGCTTGCGTCCGTGGTATCCGCTGGAGGCAGTGAGGAGAATAAGCCTCCACCAAAAGGGCCGGTCTTTGACTGGGAAGAGGATTTTTCTTTGTTCGCTGAACATACGTTGCTTTCATTCAACGAGTTATGTAAATCCCGGAAGCTGAATCCGGTAGCTGAAGAAAATAAGGGTGCACAGTTTACCAACGAACATCAAGCTCACACTAAGATTACTGTTTGGCTGACTGAAATTTTAACGCCAGAGTTCAAAAAATACACATTTCTTCAATGCTATACCGCACCTTTTACGTTACGAGTACTCGCTTCTGCGGTAGAAATTTCGTACAAAATTGGTACAAAATCACTTTAACGGTGACCATTGACACCAGGCCTCCTAGAGCATGAAAGTATACAGGCGAACCCACCAATCTCGAGCATAAATACCCCACAGATTTCAGCTCCCTCTATCAACCGCCGTCGGTTCTGACAGTGTGAAATGTGTAAAATTTCGGTCGTTGGCTTGTTCGCTGAGCTGGGCAGTTTGATTGCAAACGTTTCATTACCAATCGAGGTGACATCATCAGCGCGTTATTGGGGAGCGTAGTGGTGCGTAGCGGTGGGTTAGTGGTTTTGTGTAAGGTTGATAACTTCAAGATACCCTTTCAAAGATAAGTGAAATCCAAAAATAGTCCACAAAAGCGTCGACAATCAACCGAGACTGTATATTTTCTCCACAAAAAGGCTCTTATGGAACAAGGTGACTTATTATGGGGGAGAATACATATTTGCGATCCGCACGGAAAGCGAAAATTCAGCAAACAGGTGTGCGTTCGAGAGCCAAGTACATACTATACACTAGGGGCTACTTACCCGTTTTTGATAAGGGTTGTTCTTTGACGGTATTGAAAGAGGAGTGTGCCTCATCTTCCGCATCACTCTCTCCATTCTCATAATCGTAACCCTCTTCCTCGCTCCCAAGAAACGCTTCATTCGAATCTTCCAATTCATCCACTTCTCCTTCCTCCTCCTCCTCCTCCTCCTCCCCCTCGTCCCCGGCTTCCTCTTCTGATTCACTCGCAGAACCTTGGTCTTCATCAAAAGCGGCCACATACGCCTCATCACCAACACGTTCCTTCTCTGGAGTACCACCCTGCGCCTTAGAAAGAGTGTGCAAGAGATCGATGGACTCCAAAGATCGAATGATGGCCTGAATACCTGACTTGCCGAATTCGTTTGCATTCAGGTCCAATGATTCCAGGTTTGACTTTGATCCCAGTGACAGAACCAGACTGACCCCCGCCTGACGTGTGATTTCATTGCCAGAAAGATTCAAAACACGTAAATCGGGTGCAACCTTTGGGTCATCCAAAACAGAGGCCAGAGCTTGCGCTCCTGAGGACCGTAAAATACAGTCACCCAGATGTAGTTCCTATTTTAAGTATTGGCAGAACGATAGTAGATGGGTATTGTGGTGTACTGTAAAGCTATGAACAAATGAGATAGCACGGTCCTTATTGTTTAAATGGCACGGCCGAAACAAAACTATAAATAGGCTCACCAAAAATGCGTCTCTATGGCTTAAAGCAAGTCCCCGCAACCTACTCATGAGTAGCAAAGGTTGTCCGTCAAAATACTGAAAGACGTGGCCACATGACACGATGACAAGCTCAGCATGGAATTGTGCGCATTATCCCTAGATTGTCGGTATTCAAGGTAGTAGGGGAAATGGGGTCACCTTGGTAAAATAACGGTCACCGGTTCCACAAAACTGCCCAATCTGTTGACACGGACGCAAGCCAGCGACAGCAAAGTGCACACTACGACTTATATGACCTATATGACGGGAACGAAACAGAAGGGCGAATCATCGGCGGAAGATCCAGCAAGGTACAGTACAGCCACTACACCGTTCATTACGTGTGTCGATTGCCAACAAAGATGATACCGATAGAGCGGCTCAACTAACGCATGATGTAGTCCAGATTGTTTCAGGAGGTCCCATCAGTTCTATCAAAACAGCAGGACGACACCTTAACCTCTGCTAAGGGCTTCAGTAGTTTAGCTCATTAAGAAGACAGGCGAGAGCTTTACTAGAATTATATATACTGTTCGGTCTAAATCAGATTTCGACACATTGAATTCCCTTTATCCATTCCCTAATACAGCAACAAGACACAGATCGCGAGACGTCAACAGTTCACTCATTTTCATTAATCTCGGACGCAAAGCATGCACTAAAAAGCGTATGGCAAGAAACGGAGAGTAACTGGTGCCTGCACACTTGTAAAGCTACTTAATTTTCCTCACTGTTTGCTGCTGTACGAATGATGGAAGCAAATGGAACTTTGAATCTTGCGACTTAAGTCTTACCGATATCCTAATCAAATCAGTTTGTCTGTCCATCACATCACATCACATCGTCAAAACACAAGGGACGTATGCGTCACTAGTCAGAAAGGCGCTTCTGACGCACGAAGACCCAGGTACTTGAGGAACGTTCAGACATCGTCTTATCAATCCTCAAACTTCGGCTGGACCGCCAGCAATTCTTCTTAAACAGTCGAGCCAAAAAACCGCCAGATATATCACAAACCAAGTCGCTAATCAACAGTGATTCACTAAGATACGTACCAAAATGCTGAGTTCGTGGCTAACCACGCCACCTGCTGATTCCTCCGGTGAATCAACAGCAACTAGCGGCTATTTCTTGTTTGTCCTGACTACTCATAAGTCTGCTTACTATAGGGCCGTTTTGCTTCCCTGTTGCGCGTCTCCCGGATTTTTGCCTCCGCCTGAGGCTTGCTTAGCCTCTAGCTGCTGATGTTGAGATTCTGTCGCCTGTTCGAATTTGCTTGCAATTTTCGAGTGGCTGGTTCGAATAAGAAGCAGGTCACCCTGGGGTCGAACCCTGTGACCCCCGGACGGGAGGCGAGCGTGCTATCCGCTACGCTATTCCAACTTGCCAGGTGGTTCTAATTTTTCAATTACGTTCGTACTGTATTTCATCTGATAGTGTTTGCTGAGATTTTGTTTCAAGCGGAACTAGGCTTGCACTTCGATTTGGCATGGGGCACATGCTACTACATTTCGCTGTCAGCTGAAGACCGCAAGTACATTTCATTTGCGCCAAATTTACCCAATACCGGTTTTACAGACAGCGACTGTCCTTTGCGCCGTTATCTGTGTATTAGGCCTATTTACTCTGTATGGTTCAAAGCTCTTTTTGTGCTCCTACCGATTGCGCTGTTGTTAACGGTACGTTCTGCTTGATGTTCATTAACCCATTCGTTCATAGTACCAGTCCTCAATACAACATCTACCGCCCTCATCAGTCTGTTCCTACTGCTAACTGAATACGAAATGCGTATAATCCGATTTCAGGCAATAAACCTCGGTATATTAAACCTGTATTAGTTCACCATAATTAAAAAATAACTTCCACAAAACGCCCTATCTTTCGCAGGCCATACAATACCGTTTACCAGCGTGTAGGAATTCGTAGCTTGTAGTGCCCAATGCCAAAAGAACTCACCAGTGAAAGAGATAACATTGTGAACGAAATGAGGGCGTATCAGAGCCGAATTCTTTGCAACAAACAGTGAAAACTCCATCAACGACACATACCTCCAGTTTGTCCAGTGATCTAAGAGCCTTGGCGATTATTTTTCCGCCTTCTGCAGTTAGTGTGTTATCTGACAAATTGAGCAGCCTCAATTTGGTATTGGTCATAAGAATTTTCGACAAGGATTGCACTCCGTCCTTCCCATGAATACCAATCCCATTCTGACAAAGAGAAAGCTTCAAGCAGAACGAGTTAGTGAGGATTGAGGACACACTCACCTCTTCTAGAGACCTCATATCTGCCAGTACTTTCGCCAACATTTGAGCGCCAACATTCTCCAAACGATTTCTACTTGCAGAAAAAACTTTCAAAGCCAACCCATGTCTGTTGCAAGCCTCTCGTCCTTTCTCCAAGGCTTGTGTTAGATACCGACAACCTTCATGTCCCAGGCCTTGATTGTTCATTCGGAGGACCTAGACGAACTTTGGTGGACAGGTAAAGTAGAATTACCTCTAGCGTGAAACATGCAGGACTTGAAAGTAGTTCAACAACTCCCACAACACCATTCGGACCAAAGGCGTTATCGCTCAAATCCAGCTCGACCAGGTGCGCACCAGATGAGATTATACCAGAGCATAGGTGTCTAAGAGCCGGAGCGATCTCCGTTTTCAGGCGGCCTGAAATACACACAGCAAACAAGATATGTACTATACCGGACAACAAAGCCCTCTAACAAGATTATTACTATTGCCCTAGGACCTACAAACGGTTAAAATGAAAAAACGGGTGGGTTAAGGATTTGCTTACGTGGGAGCACTACAACTTTCAACCCACAGGTGACATTCATTAGGTGCTGAGGTAGAGAAATGGGATTATGGTGCTGAGAATGAATTGTTCTTCCATTATGTAGGTTGTGCATACATACGACATGGTGTATTCATAATATCTATGCATTCATAATGTACATGTAATCGAGAAAATTTAACAACTTTCATTCAAGCACCTGCCACTGAGCGATCGGCTCCGCGGAATGATGTGACTGTCAATCCACTCACGGGAAAAATAGGTTTCGATTCTGGATTTCAAGATCTCACGAATTAATTACTTACCCAACACATCCTCTTAAGAGTTTACACAGAGAAGCCCGAAATTCGGAAATTTTCCTGATGGTTTCAGAACATTTGTAAAATTTCAGGCATGGCTGGTGCAACACTATTTTTTGCCGTAAACAAAACCTACGTACATCAGTTCGGTGGAAGTCATCCAATCAACAACCTCACTGCTAGTGATCCACTGGATCTCTTGTTTTCGACAGCGAAGTTTTATCGAAACACACCAATGTGAACAACTTCAGTTACAGAACCCACCTATATATTTGGTGTTTGACGTTTACTCCATTAAAAGTAATATACAATGCTAAATAAGTCGTCGAGAAACAGAAAACTCTGTTGCACCTTACCAGAAGGTTGAAAATAAAATATACCAGGTTGACAGCGAGATAAGCAGAGCTCTGACTCATAGTTGGTAAACTGAACCATAGACTACCCTATACAAAACCTTACTGAAAATTTTTGTTACCGCTACAATGTAAGTAAAAACGAGAGTTGTCATGATGCCCATGCGTGGATGGGAACGACTGAAAAGTCAGATGCAAGACTACAGATAACCGCTTTCAGCGAATACCTCAACTTAACTGCTGTGTTTTCTCAACCACCAAATGAACGATACCTTCTTCATAAACGACCCACATGTGAAGGTTGGTCATCTTGAGTGCTACCAAATCCGTTAGGGTAGTTTCAGTAAAAACGATCAATTCCACAAAAATCAATGTGTCAATCGACTCACCAGTAAATAGGTCGCTGAAGATACACCGCCTTAGCTTCTTATTGTTTTCCAATGCAGCACCTAACGGCTCTGCTGCTACTATTCCAAGGGTATTTCCAGTGAGATTAAGGCACGTAACTTCCGAGTTGCTCTTTAGCTCCGATACGATGAAGCCGACATCTTCCACCGTATCAAGTTTTAGTCCCAAGCCAGCAAACGTAACAACATGCTCCTCCTTGGAGTCTAGGAGTGAAGTTCCGCTCGACATGATGGACCAGCGGGGAAAACAATGAATATGATGAAGCACTTCAATGCCCCGATGCAGAAACGACGTCCTGAAACGGGGAAAATATATTGCACGTCACAGTGCTGGTCAAATTCTACGGTACGCTGGTTTTAGCTGCTACTGTTTCGATTGCCGAAAAACTAGAGAGCAGAGAATAAGTATTGAAGGCAATAGCAACACCAGTTGGATTCATCATCATCATCATCCTCATCATTATCATCCTCATCATTCATCATCATCATCGACAGTATGACATCAGTGTTCAACACCGATGCCTCACTGCCTTACAACCATGATTTATTTGAAAGCAAAGCCGTAAAGAAAAGGATAAAGGTGGACGGGGAAGGGACTTAGTGCTAGCTTAACACAATCATTCCGAGGTGCCTACACCTCCACACATTCACTCGGGCAATCTGGATAGAAACTGACAACAAGAACGCCACTGACATCGGTTGGCAGGCATATCTTGTAGTGTCTCCAACCAGGCACA